TTTATTTTTTTTTATTTTTTACGGGGCCACCCCGGACATTTTTCCGGGGGGCAAGGGGCCCTGTCTCCCCCCCCCCTGCGGAGGCCTATGTATATATATATCTATATTTAACAATTTATTTCTATTTCACAAACTTATTTGCTATAAGTCAATCTAAAAAAATTTACTGGTTTGGGTACGCTTGCCATACTTGTCAGACTCGCATGCGATTTACGAATACATTACTCAGAACTGCACGTATTATGGATACGTACTATAATTTCCACCTTATGAAGGAAAAACGAATTGGTTTGGTGTATTTTTTACTTTAAAACATTGTATCACAAACAAGTACTGTCATAAACAGTTGAAACGGATTTGGAAACGAACGTGTAAATCATTCCTGTTGACCTAGAACAGATAGGTAGATTATGAGGTCAACAAAATCTTATTCTTTGATAACTCTACGTTTTCTAAAACACTCCCTTAAAAATAACAAAACACAGATCATAAGGTGGAACAGAGGAATGCAAGCTTCCTGTTTATACAAATATGACTCGGTCTACTGACTACTGCTTCCACACAAAGAAAACCCTCATCTTTGAACCTTAGCCCTCTGTCGTTCGATTTCATACAATTTAATTATGCTAGTGAAAGCAGCAGACACCAAGAGCAGTAGTGATCTTTAGTAGAATTAGTTTCGACGTTTTAAAGCAGGTACAGCAACTGTTTTTATCATTTTGTGTCAAAGCTACAAAAGTGCTAACTATGCATTGCTGCCCCTAAATTTGATTGTTTATTTATTTTAGACTTAAGCCACATTGGGCTATCTGCTGTGTCCACCGTGGGGTTGTTTGTTATGAGTTTCGCGTAAAGCTACACGAGGGCTGTCTGCGCTAGCCGTCCCTAATTTCGCATAATTTTGACCTGCTAGACTAGAGGGAAGGAAGCTAGTCATCACCACCCACCGCCAACTCTTTCGCTACTCTTTTATCAACGAATAGTGAGACTGACTGTCACTTATAACGCCCCCCCCCCCACGGCTGAAAGGGCGAACATGTTTGGTGGGACAGGGATTTCAACCCGTGACCCACAAATTGCGAGTCGAGCGCCCTAACTACCTGGTCATGCCGGACCCATAATTTTGAACAGAAAGAATAAAGGGAAAGTAGTTATTCAACACCACCCACGACCACCTCTGGGACTACTACCCTTGTCTGATTGAGTAGAGGGATTTGGCCATCACTCATATAACGCACCTACGCCCTAAAGTACAAAGTACGGAGCGCGTTTTGCCGTAACGGGTCGCGAACCATGAGCCCTTGAATTTACAGCCCGGATACGCTGACCATTAGGCCACCCCTGTCTCTCTTATAGTCTTGCTTTTACGAAACGTAATCTGAACACTTTGAAATGACATCATTTGAAGAAAACAAAAAACTCTTTATCTTCTCCTTATAACAGTGAAATGGCTCTTATGATAATTTTCTTTATAATTTAAATTGTATCATAATTTATAAAAAATTAGTCTCGGCAATTTTTGTTGCTTTTAAATTTAAAAAAAATGTTCTTGAATGTAGCATTTGTTCATCCTGCATCTTTCCGATGATTGTTATTATTATTTGTTTCTAACTTGAAACAAATCAAGTGAAATATGTGTCAAATGTCAGCTTACAGTATACGATTTCTTACATTTCCTTCCGTGCTTTTAATTGCTAAGTACAATACGATTTGAGATTAACGATTATTTTATTATTTTTTCGGCGATCCCATATATGAATTGTGACGTTTGAGACAATTATTATCTTTCTGATATTCCAAATATTTTAAAATTCAACCGAATGATGGCGCTACCAGTCAAGTGCAATGCGGATGATTAGTTAGAACAATTGTTTTTTTTTTGTTTTTTACATTCTTGCTACCCTAAAAGATAAGACATCCTACTATTTGCAACTTCCACTAAAGCATAATCTCTGTAAAACAATTATTTCATTTCTTATAAACCTTTATATTGTTGGGTATTTTACAACATGAGTAAGAAGTTAGTGTTAGATGATAAAATGTTGTTGGTATAATCAATATACGATCAATGTATCATCTTTATTGGTAAGATTTAACTATTCTGCCCAAGTGGCTCAGCGGTAAGTCTGAAGGTTTATAGCTATAAACACCGGGTTTCGATACCCGTGGTTAGCACAACACAGATAACCCATTATGTAGCTTTGTGCTTAAAAACAAACAAATTTAACTCCTAGTGGCTCGTAGAACAACTATGGATAGTCAAGCTAGTGTAGGCAAACTATGAGTTCCAATTTTATGTATTTTTCAACCTGCTCGGTGCCAGACATCTTAGTTTGTGAAATCACAAAAACGTTCATTTTTCTGATCTCTTCTCTAGATAAATAAATAAATAAACAAACACATCACGATGTTACGCAGTGAACTTCAGAGCTTCCGTCGCAAACAGTATTATAAAGTGATAAAAAGATAATAGCTTCAGTTTCAGACTTATAATGCTAACATTTGGGTATAGCGTGGATAGCCCATTGTACAGCTTTGTTCTTAACAAGAAACAAACGAAAGGCAAATCCACTAAAACCACAGCCAGTTTTAAGAAGCTTATATAATAATAATCATAACAACTTTTCAATTCATAATATTTTATAGTTCGAATACATTCCATCGCTTGATTGCTTTGTCGGAAAGGTTCTCTTATTAACGTGGTTCAAAGAGAGTACATAGAAAAACCCACGGTCCGAGCAGTTGTATTAGTAAAAACTGTTAAATGTTTCTTTGTGTAGTTCACCAAATTATAATTAAGAACTTTTGACTAAAAGTAAAGAAGAGAGTTTAATAATATGCGAACCATACTACATCATGTAGAACAAGAATCAACAAAGGATTAGACATTGCACTTTACAACTCACATTTCCGGTTTTCTTACCATTTCCGGTACTCAACCTGTACGAAGTATCACAAACGACCGTGATGCAGAGAAGCCCGCGAATTGCCACCTTCAAACACGTCATCAAATCACTGAAAGCTATTGGTCACGTGACTAACTTACTCTCGTTGAAGAGAGCTAGACTTGCAGAAAACGTACAGTAGAAGACAAGGGAACGTCGTGGGGCCAGAGTATCGTGGGGTAAACAGTTTGTATGGCCAAAGATAGTTTTGTTGTTATTAATATATGATGGATGTATTATCTTGATTGTTATGGGTTAATACTAAGTGCCGATAGATGTTTAGAGTAACCATGGATAGTCAAACAAGTAGCCTCTGTGGTGAACCTACGCCACACATCTCGTGCCTCTACCCGGAGATCTTAGCCCTGATTTTCAGCCATCTAAATGTACGAGACAAGGGACGTGCGGCACAGGTTTGTTCAGCTTGGCGGGAGGCAGCTTACCACAAGTCCGTCTGGCGCGGAGTTCGTGCTCGGTTACACCTAAGACGAGCCAATCCCTCTTTGTTTCCCAGTTTAGTGCGTCGAGGAATTCGTCGAATACAAATTCTTAGTTTGCGAAGGAGCCTCCGAGACGTGGTATTAGGTGTTCCAAACCTGGAATCTTTAAATTTGATCGGATGCTACAATTTGAGTGACTCGTGGCTCAGCCATGCCCTCGTTCACGAGATGCCATCGCTGACGGATCTAAATCTTAGCATGTGTAAACAGATCACGGACTCCAGTTTGGAACGCATTGCTCAACACTTACAGAACTTGGAGATTTTGGACTTGGGTGGATGCTGTAACATTACGAACACAGGGTTACTTCTGGTGGCCTGGGGACTCAGACGGCTTCGTAGTCTTAACTTACGTAGCTCTCGACATATATCAGACGCAGGAATTGGTCATTTATCCGGCTTGAATCCAGAAGCCGCCGATGGAACCGTGGCTTTAGAACATTTGGGGCTCCAGGACTGCCAGAAAATTACAGACAACGCCCTCAGACAAGTGAGTTTAGGACTTCACAATGTGAAGAGTATTAACTTAAGTTTTTGTGCTAGTGTAACAGACTTCGGCCTGAAGTTTTTGGCACGAATGTGTGAACTGCGTGAGCTGAATCTTCGAAGCTGCGACAACATCACAGACTTGGGCATGGCTTACCTGGCCGAAGGCGGTTCGCGATTAACAACTCTCGATATCAGTTTTTGTGACAAGGTAGGAGATCAAGGCCTGCTTCATGTCTCCCAAGGTATTTTTAATCTTAGAAACCTCAGTCTCAATGCATGCCCCATCAGTGATGAGGGATTAAGTCGGATCGCTCGCACGCTCTCAGACCTTCAGTACCTGAATATTGGTCAATGTTCACGTGTTACCGACAAAGGACTTAGTCTCATTGCTGACAATTTTCATCAGCTCCGCAGTATTGACCTTTACGGGTGCACTAAAATCACCACGGTGGGACTAGAAAAAGTCATGCAGCTTCCATGCCTTTCAGGCTTAAATTTAGGCTTGTGTCCGTTGTGGGAGAAAGAAGACACCCAGCCTGTCTGTGATAGTGTAAATGTGTATAAATAGTATATATATATATATATATATATAGAACGTAAAGAAGCATATGCCCCAACACACACACACACACACACATATATATATATTGGTATTTACACACTTTCACAAAAAATGTCCTGATAATTTTTTAAAACCTTATGTTATAACGTGAAGTGGATGGGGGGAGAAGAATTTCCTAAGCCTAACACTGTGACAAAATGTTACGAGAGCGATTGTCTTAAGAGATGCGTATACATTGTTGATTTGAAGAAAACTATCATACATAAGGTTTGAAACTTCTTTTCCAAATTTTATTTTCGAATGATATAAATTGTGCGTTTAAACTGTATATGTACTATATATATATATATATAATTTTTTATCATCAATCTCTGTGGTTAAACCATGTAGCATAGGATTAAAGATTTGTTTTTTAAGTCCGTGTCTTAGTTTAAGGTGTTTAAATCTACAACTTACAAGGAAGCAAGATAAATTGAATTGTAGTAATCATAGAAGTCAGATATATCCACACTGTGGGTGAAGGACTGTATGAAAAGTTCACTTTTTTCTAAACCAGCACAGAAATGTTATCCAAACGTACAGTAAGTGAATTTAAAATTAATTGAAATCCTCTTTTAATAATTCTCCATTTCACTCTTTTAATCTGGTTATAAAATATCACGAACGACTCATTCTTCTGACCAAGATATGTATTCAGTTTAAGTAAATATTATGTTTTATGTCAGTAATTATTTTTACAAACAAATGGTCATCAGTACTATGAAACTCAGATGAAAGAGGGGGGAGTAGTATAGAATTGTTGAAGGAAAGCTTATACTATCTGTATTGGTAAAAGGAAGGAAAAAAGATATCTATCAGTGGGTTATTTTGTTTGAATAGATATTACCAACTATTTAGATCCTAGAATAGATTACTTCTCTGTTTAATGCCTATTCGTCCCTTTTCAGGTTATTACATTTATAAAGCAAATAGAACATTCCTACATTAAATAATAAACGGAAGGTGAAGGCTCATACACTTGAGAGTGTTTTTAATTTCCACCACAATTGGCTCACCATTTTTATAACGTTACGTGGTGATTAGTTTTTTATATTAGTAAGTCTAACGTCATGTTGTATTCACGTGGTTGATTTTCAGGCATGTTAAAGATCACTTGATTATTTTCGACTGTTAACGACTTCAAATCGTTAAATTTACGTTTCAAACGATATTTCAAGAGGCATTAGGATGATGCCATAGAAATGGTATCTAATAAATCTGTTTGAAGTGGTTGATATTTAAGCTTTCTTGTTCAATTTCCATCTTGATATTCAAATCTTCGAGTAATTTGTCTACCTAAACCAAATATTTCACAATTTTATAATATTTTTGCTGTGTTCATTAGAAATGGTATACTTTCAAAATAAGACATTTTGTAATAAATTTTATTAATGATTTAGATTCAAAGTTAATGATTGCATTATGGCTAGTGTTGTGTGTTTATGTGTGCCATAGTTTGGACTGACCAGAGTTTATTTAAAGATCTAAGTGGCCTTTTTTTTTCACATGTTCAGATGAAAATATATCGAGCCGACGAGAAAGCTGTGTAGTTATTATTTGAAATGTAGTTAATCTTTTCCGTTCCTTCTGTTGTATTAACAGCAGCTGAAATTATTTGTCTAATACTAATTCCAACACGAAATGGTCACATGATGAAATAGTACACTGTAAAAAAAAAACATTAGGCGCTAAGTACAAAACAACCGTGTTGATTTGTTTGAAGTTATGCGCAAAGCTACACAATGGGCTATCTGTGCTCTGCCCACCACGGGTATCGAAACCCGGTTTCTAGCGTTGTAAGTCCGCAGACATACCGCTGTGCAACTGGGGGGCAACCGTGTTGAAGCATTCCTATAAGGTTTAAGCTATAAGTAATTGATAAAGTGTTATGTTATTTTGCTTATTGCACTCAACTCTGTACGCAGCCAGTGAACTTAAGATAGAAACTTCAACATGGGCAAACATATAACAGTAGGGCTAGTTACATAAGAGCTATTACAAGGTCGGTACTAACCTGGAAAAGTCAGGAAACCTGAAAAAGATATTTAAAAAAACTATCGAAAACCCTTGAAAAAGTTAGGGAAAATTTATTCCCTTCCATTTATCTTCGAACATCCAAGCGATTGCAAATTCTACTGCTTAGTTATGCCTATTACTGATTTTTTAAACAAAATATTGGAAGGTTAGTCACGTTGTTATTTTATCTAGTGATAAGTATCCAAATCCTTACATTTGATAGTAGTTTAGATCAAATATCCTTTTACGAACAAAAATGCTAGTTTTTCTTGTTTATCATCAAGTTGCTCTGTCCCTGTGTGAAGACCGTATTTTATAATAGGTATTCTGAAGTATTATTACCCGTTATACAAATTCAAGTGGTATTATTTAAGTACAATAATATCAATGTGTACTATATATGCGTGTTAAGGTCTGAAAAATCTGGATTTGTGTCTTGAAAAGTTAGGGAAAAAAAATTGGAAATTAAACAATTACCCAATATTACTATTCCACATCATGTCTTTTAATTTAATGTAGTCTCTAAATAATGTTGTTGTTTTTTGTGCAAAAACTAGTTTAGGGCCTTTGGTTTACGAAATATTATTTAGTGGTTGAAAATAGATCCCTACTTAAACGCATAAAACCTTTTAATTCACATGCAAACAAACTTTAATTTATTTTTGAAAAAAAAAAAAATCATTGGTAATATTAGTATGCCTAAGGGCTTTGCAGTATTACTTCTAACAGTAGTTTAGTTTTAGTTGTTGTTAAGCGCAAAACTACACAATGGGCTACCTGTACGCTGCCCACCACGGGTATCGAAACCCGATTTTCAGCGTCAAAAGCCTGCAGACTTACCACTGATCCACTGAGGGGTGTTGTAATAGTTAAGCATAAATGAATATAGTCACAATAATCATGTGTAAATTATTTAGTTTGACTTGGTCTCTTAAAATAACGAATGACCAGTGTTTGATTTCAAGTTACTTACAGTGTGGATTGGTTCGGCAGTAGACAAAATATATAAAAATTTGAGTTAATACTTAGGCGCAAAAATGATCTTTGAGTGTGACATTATACGGCGAATCGTTCCAACACAGAAACTTCTTTCATCGTGACAGTGAGAAATGTACGCGGTATTTTATAATTCTCTATCAATAAGCAACTTAATAGGATATATGTATTATAAGTCGAGCTGACCACATAAAACTTAGGGTCGAAGGTCATTTTTACAGTTTCTCGTGATTCTACAGCATCATGCTAAATATAAGGTATCTGATTTAATTAACATCCTCTGGGGATTATATTTAATTTTACAGTGTAAGTTTGCTTACGTAGCATCATAGGTTGACTACCATAGGTCACACACACATTCTTATTTCCCTGAAAGGGATATACAGAGTCGTTGGATAGGAATAGTGTGGCGGCACAAGTAAGAAACTTCAATGCAGGTGTGTTATTGTGCTGGTTTCGGTTCTATTAATTATATTCCAAAAAATGTCTTTAATTATTGAAAATTCTGCGACTCACTTTACTTTTTTGTTTTGGAAACTTTTAATAAATATTGAATCAGATTTGTTTACATTTGTAGATATTTACATTGAACTTCACTAGTGATTATTTTTGTGTTACATCGAGATTGGTTTCATTTGTAATTAATTGCTTTCAATTCCGGAAGTTATTTATTAATAACTTATTCTGACGAAGCATTTTAAAATTAGTTACTTTATTTATAAAAAAAATTACCATTTTTTGTGACTGAATATACACTGAAAACTGATTATAATGCTCTTCGTGTAATAGTAATATGGTTCTGAGTTATAAAAATAAATCACTTTAAGATTGAAATTCTAATAAAGGAAATATACAAAAAAAAGGCATTTCAAAAGAATTGAATTTCAGTTCGACTATTTTGATGGAGTAGAGCAAAAATATTTAACTGTTAGAATGTACCTCACCTTCCCCCCGTTTTTTTACAAGCAATGACAGTATGAACCCTAAAAATTCAGCAACATTTTTCAGCTATTAAGTATAACTGATATATATCTCACTTCTCTCACATTTTTACTGTCATTTCAGACCCTCTGTGATCTAACTGTTATGAAGTAACAATAAACTTTTTCGTCCTTGGTAAAAAATAACTTTTAGTTATTGATTTCGCCCATCCTTTATTCTTAGCCGACAGTACTCCACACTGTGCTTGAAATTGTCTCTAAAAACGGCTCATTTACATTTTCAATCTTTAAAGTTTTTTGTGACGTTTCAAACGCTCTTGTTAATGGCAACAGAAGTATGTAATTAACGAATTATATGTAAAGAAATTAACTAACTGAATAAATTTATATAAAAATGTAGATACGTATGGGACCTGTGTCAGATTGATGATTGGTGCTTTGAAAATTATGTTAATATGTATATATATCTATATATATGTATATTATATTTTATGACCCTGTAAATCTCAGTTGCTTTATAAAAACAGTTACTTTAGTATAAATGTGTTGTGTTGATCAATTTCTTAATCATTTCATATAATTTCAGCTGTTTCAAATGTAGTTATGCGGGTATTAACAAAGCAGTAGAAAATTCTTGAGGCCTGCTTTCTTAGCATGATACTATTTGAAACTATATGAACACGTGGCCTGCTTTCTTAGCATGATACTATTTTTGAAACTATGAACACGTGGCCTGCTTTCTTAGCATGATACTATTTTTGAAACTATGTGAACACGTGGCCTGCTTTCTTAGCATGATACTATTTGAAACTATATGAACACGTGGTCTGCTTTCTTAGCATGACACTACTCTTGCAACTATTATGATCTCTGGCTGATACTTCATTTTTTATAAATATTAATTTTATATATGCCAAAGTTTAACCTTTGAAACGCCGTCTATCCAATTTTTTCTTTATTTAATGTTTTGATGCTTTTTCGTTCTTATGTTTTCTGCAGAGTTTTCCACTTAAAACATTTGTGGAAATTTCAGATTATACAATATTAGCACTGTATTTGTTGTTTGTCGCTGTACTGAGCGCAAGACAAGACCGTTACCAAAGCGAACGTTTTTTTCACAGTCAACATTTCTATAAAAAAGTGTCAATTGTGAGAATTGCAAAAAAAAAAAATAATTTTCTGTAATATACTCTTGAAAAGAAGTATTTTATTAAATATATATAAATTAACCGTTCAGGAGATGCAGAGCGTGACAGACAATTATTATATAAGACTATTATATATATATAGAGAGAGAGATAGGTAGGTAGATAATTGAATTATATTTTATGTAAAGGATTATGATAACGCCGGAGTGGTTAATAATAAATTGAATATTATCAAATTAATCATTTATTATATGGACAGTTATACGCCTAATTCAAGGCCTAACCATGATTTTTCAAATAAAAATTGGTTAATAATTTTATTTATTTATGAAATATTTTTATCTGAAAACTACCCTCATAATACTCATTATTTTTAGAACATCTCATAGGAGATTAAGGGTTTTTCTTCTTTACTTCTTCCAATAATAGATAATGTTCTTGAATTATATAATATTATTATTATTAAGAATAAAACATTTGTGAATTTTACATACTTTACAAAAATCCATATTCTCCTGGCCAGGTGATTAGGGCGCTTGACTCGCAATCTAAGGGTGCGGGTTTGAATCCCTGTCCCACCAAACATGCTTGCCCTTTCAGGGCGGGGGGGGGGGGGGGTTATAAGTAACGGTCAATCCCAACGAATGTTGGTAAAAGAGTAGCCCAAGAGTTGGCGGTGGGTGATGATGACTAGCTGCCTTCCCTCTAGTCTTACACTGCTAAATTAGGGACGGCTAGTGCAGATAGCCCTCGTGTAGCTTTGCGCGAAATTCAAAACAAACCGTATTCTTGCCTGAAAACTATATTAAATCTCCAACTTTATTTTTCATTTAAGGACGAATATTCTTAACCTTTATCATCCACCTATTGTATTTATACCAAATATATATAATTTATTTGTTCATTCACCTGTACCACATCTGGTGTACACAACTGACTAAATGCTGTCAGAAACTTCTATGTTTCAGGCGTATAGTCGTCTCTCATTTTCAATTGGATTGATACTCTTATAACACACATACAACTGAGCGTGCGAAGCGTGTTTTTGTAACACTGCTTCTCGATCCCAAGATACTTAGATCCCCAATTTGAAGCGCTAGCCAATAGGCTACGCCCAGGTCTTAAATATGTAATTCAAACATCTTTGTATCATTTACTTTTTAATATTAATGTGAAAATCCATATTTGATTATTTATGTTTCACAAATATTTGCAATCCTAATCCTAGTTCTTTTTTTTTAATGTTTTTCGAAGTTAGCTCAAACATATAATTTTGGTAAGCTCGTGGACATCTTATTTCAACTTTTAAGGGTTGTAAATTGCTAAGCAGTTGGCATGGTTAAGAATATTAAATTCCTTGACCAGTTTTTTAAAACCCTTTTTTAAAATTATGCACCAGATTATTTGTGGTTCCAAAAATTTGTTCCACATTTCTTAATGAACTACGAAGTACATATAAATATATATATTTATATATGTCAAAATATTATTTCAACTGTAAAGTAAATATTACCATGGAAAGGAGGAACTGCGTTAAAAACAACAAGACCAAATGTGTAATGAAAAGATTGTGATTATCAAAGCAAATCTTAACAGCTACAACAAAAATGGTGCATAAATTAAAAAGATTACCAGGGCACAGGCTATAATTTGGGATATAAGATGTGCCTCGGGCTTTAGACAGCTTTACGTTTAATTCAAGGCCTAACCACGATTTTTGAAATAAAAATCTGGTTAATACCCAGAGCACATCTTACATCCTAAGCCTGTGCCCTGGTGAGCTTTTAATTTATGCAGTGTTTTTGTTGTAGTTGTTAAGGCTTGTTTTTGATAATTAATATATATATCAACGTTAACAGTTACTCCCAGTAATTATTTCTGCGGTCCCCTATCTATTTAACAGAGAAAATTAATAATTTCACCCAATATATTTGGTTCGTTCTTTACACTGCCTCTTGTAACAGACACAAATACAGAACTTAAAGGTTTAGAAACGGAAACTGACTATCAATAGTATAATTAACACTGGCTCATCGTATGTGCTAAACTTGACGAAAAATGTGAAACGTGATTAGATATCGTGGACGACTTTGTCATCAAAGACCAAATCAAAACATGAGATAATCCGTTTAATTGCTAAAGTTATCTGATAGAAAATATGGCTACCAAAACGACAACTTAAAAAAGTCGAAGAAAAAAGGATTTATTGCGTAACTAAGTGACACAGAAGAAAGGGGTAAATGAAAGATGAAGGAATACTTCAGGATTTGCTGTAGATAATGTATGTATATCATATTCTCACAAATTCACAAACATAGAGTCTGTGTTTCAACTATTGGTTTTCCTCCAAAAATCTACACCAGCCGTTATTTGAACTGTCTTTTGGCCCTTATACTGTAGTAATTAGTCTGAATCGTTTCACATAGCATAAGCCAAGTTCTAAAGTCAGGTTTCAACGAAGTTTTAATCTAGGAAAAACAAAACAAAGAAAATTCACTTTAGATAGCTAGAAACTTTTATCCGACCGTATTCCATTCAGAATTATATTTATTGAAGAAAAAGGAGATTAGATGATAAAGAAAAATTAATTCATTTGACTAAATTGTAATGCTAAAGCTAACCCTAAGTTAGGACTCAAACGTACAAGCAAGTGTAAAGTTTGAAATGGCAAGGATACAGAAATGAAATTCGTGAACAATGTGTAAGTTAATGTATGTTTGATACCACACGCATTGTTTAAGGATTTCACTTCTTTTGAAGTATTGCCCACTTCCACCTCCCACTTAGTCTAATTTCGAACGCTACGTGTGCTTATTGCCGACCCCTTATCTCACAGTGGACGCGTCTATCCTCTGGGTAGAAGTATTATCACACAGTGGACGCGTCTATCCTCAGGGTAGAACTATTATCACACAGATACACGTACAAAGATGCATATTATATATATATATATATATACACAAACACATTGATGTAACGCGTTTATCAAGAAGAAGAAAGTCAATCTATCGCACTAAGATGAAACCTATATTTAGTTTCTAACTGCCTTCTCAACTGAACCACAGCTCCGCTCACCACGACTAATTTCACTCACCAGGCTTTTCGTTAAAACCTGCCTCAACAGATTCTATTAAAACTTGTGCAGGCTCAATACACATGTGGGCAAATGCAGACCCTGGTAACCATGGTAACTTGATAACGATTATCCCTTGGCGTTTTAGTGTGTATTTATTTTATTCTCTACGGGTCAGATTTCTGAGGAAAAAATCAAAATCCATAACTACTCAGAGATATTGTGAAACTTCTTGACCTTTGTTGTCCTGTTGCATCTCCTACATTCCTCCTGAAGTTTACAGTTCATCAAAGTAATTCGAAAGCTTAAAATATATTACTTTAATTTTATGTATTTCTGTCATATCATCACGTGCTTAGTTGTCCAATTTCTGTAGTTCTTATAAAAACGTAACTGAGCAGCACAGCTTAACCTGAACAAATGAAGCTATTTGAATAAATAGATAAATTAGCAAATCCAAAACAATCATACGTC